TCATCGGTGTAGATTTTTAACGATTTCCCTGCTTCTTTGTACCAGCAAAAATGTATTTTTTTTACATTATGTGAAACAGTTGTCAAAAGAATATTGCAGGTCACTTCGTGTATCACTGTTCCCGAGAAACTGGTGAGAACTCAAGCTTAGCAAACGAACCAGAGTATTGTTAAAGAAATATTTACAAAGTAATGCTGAATGTCATAGATAGAGCGGTGCAAGTCTTTGACACTCTTCTAAAGAGGTCACCATCAGTATCACCATTGGGTTACCTTTTATTTTCTTCATGACTGCTGAATCCCTTAAACAGAATTAACCCGTGATGAGAACGTCTGTCAAGTACTACATGTACTTGTTCAGCTAGGCACTTACTGCTGTGTTTCCCAGGACTTTCTTCTCTTCCTGAAATAGCTCCTAATAACTTGATGACATTGCACGTAACCAGATATACGCGGTTCACTGTTTGACCAATAGTATCAACATGAAAAGGAACGAAATTTTCGGTTGTCGCTCAGTTTTGATGGTGAAGAGTTTACAACTTAACCGGTTCTGATCGCTTGTGTCATTATCGAACAATCTAAACTTTTGCAAAAGTAATAATTTATAATACTTCACGATTGTGATTTATAACAGAACCAATCGTTCTTGTAAAAGTTTCTTGTAAACAACCATTTATAAGAAAATATAAATTATTATTATTATTAGTCTTTATTGAGTACAATTCACTTCTGGTGTTATACAAATACACCACTTATTTTAAATTATTACTCATTGTGGATATAAACCAAGAATAAGACTCAACGCCGTACACACCAAAGTTAGAATGGGGAAAATGACTTCTAGTTTTCAAGCTTTTTTCCCAAGCATTTGTAATTCATGCAACAAATACTTAGGTTTTTAAAAGTTGGTTTGTAGGGATTTGGTTGGTTTCAGGATTTCATCATGAGCTGACATTAGCTGGAGAACCATTGGAAAACCTGAGAGTACTGGACAGCTGTTTCGTCCTAGTTCGGGAGCTCGCCTTGTAATCGGATGGTCCTGGGTACGAATCCCGGTGGGTGCGTACTGCTGGAGAGTCCCGAACTAGGACGCAACAGATGTCCAGTACTCCCAGGTTTTCCATTGGATCTCTAACTAATGTCAGCTCATGATGAAATACTTAGGTTATTTTTGTTTAATGCAAGGACAATATTTCTATATTGCTTAATGTTCTCCGTTAAATGACTAGTTATCACACTGTTCCCACAAACTGAAGACAAGATGACAGCAACCATGTGATTTCACCATAAACTAAACTTATGTGCGTCGGTGGCACAGTGGTTAGGACTCTCGCCGACCATGCACATGGTCCGAGGTTCGAGCTCGCGCCGACGCACACCTTGATATCTATGGTCGGCCTGCGAAATTTGGGCTACCGATATCCATGCTGAAAATTCCATACATGTACTAAAAATACGGTGTGGAATCAAGCTGTAATCAAAAATAAATAAAAAGAAAATAAATAATATTTACCCATGCCTGTACAACTGCTGTGTCCTACATAGGTGGGAATAAATATGTATTTTATTGTATCATTATTAAATTTGCTTGCTAACTGTATATGTAATTTGTCATATTGACGATGCCTGTAAACTGGCGTCTTTCATGTATAAAAATGAGAATATATTATTGTGATTATTATCATTGTATAATCTCTCTTAATTTCCAAGACATTCATAAAACTAGTGAAGACAAAAGGTTGAAGGTGGATCCAGCAACCGTAATTCGATAAAATTACTCCTTGTTACAACAGGAAGGTGAAAGTGCAGTAAAGAAATAATTTATTCATGACTGGAAGACTCCTTAACAATTTGAAGAAGTATAAGGCAAAACCTGTGAAACTTCTGCGAAAACAGTCGACCACTCTCAGCATGAAGATTTGGAATGTTCTTACCATGTTTCTGGCGCACAATACTCCTCATGTGGTAGATGAAATGACATGGTATTGAAAACAGTTGGAATGAAAGCGGACTCTGCTAAATGATGATACCGCCTCCAGCATAAAAGCGGCCTCTTTGATAAACCACTTATTATATTCCTTCGTAGATGTTTAGATGGGGATAATTCATGAAATAAAACGCACGGTGCATAATTTCAAGGAGACTAAAGGGATAATTCCACCGGAGATTACATTGCTTTGATAAAAAGACCACATTGATGCAGTATTATTTGCGGATTACAACGTTTCAAACACAAAGTGTTGCTCCTCGTAATCATATCAAGGCAATCACAAAAACTTTAGTTGTTAGATTCGCATCAAAAATCAGCATTACTAAAAGGGATCAGTCGAAACCAGGGTTCAGTGTATAGCTGTTTCCATCTACCTTCCAAGAGTCAGGCAATTAACTGATGAGCTTTAGCTGACGAGACCAAACGCAATGACCATTTAGAGACTTCCGCTCGAATTCAGTGATCCCCGGATTCTAACTTTGTGAAATCACGTTATCGAGCATTTCCCCAGATCAGTAAACTTCGTGGGGTCTATTGTTCTATACTTAGCTAAATTCATATCCCTAATTGTCCATTTGATTTTACCACTTGAATTGTATGTATGCATGTTTGAAAATCACAATCGCTTACGTCTATCTTTTTAGGCTGTTAGCAGCTGATGAAATGTCTTTGGACATGGCAAGAAACTCACACCAATGCTTAATGAATATCGGATGCTTACGTTTACTGTTTAAGTTTGCCTTTATTTGCTTAAGGCTCATGGATGAGCAAACACGCTTTTTGGCACGCCATCGTGTTAGGTTTGTTCTTTCTTTCACACGATCACTAGCTAGTTAATCAGTCATTCTTACACTAAGATTTACGTCCAGAAATATACTTCGTTATTTCAACGATCACTTTTGAATCTCTGCTTTGTCTTTGGTCTATGCAGAACAAACACTTTAGAAGTCGTCAGTATTAGATTGTGCCTCCAAAATACCTTTATTCTTTCTTTCTCTGCGTTCAAAAATTAAACAAGACGATTCGTTGTCCGTGTGATATATTCTGTTTTAATTCATTCTGCTGACCATCTGACTTGCTTGTACTTTACCACATTCGCATAACGATGTGTTCTGGCAATAAAATATAAAAGCGAGAGAAGGCACTTTAGAAGACAGTTGACTATGTTAAAATGTCACTAAAATACCACAGAAATCAACATATATGTTCATTTTAATTGTAAAAATGACATAAAAGATAATACTCTAACATATATGACCAACTTTCTTTTTAAACAAAAATGTTTGTATTGCTTTCATTGTTCTCCTATCGTTCATTGTTCCAATTTACCTTGAAATTTGAAAACGCCACTATTCTCTTTTTTATTTGTTTGTTTAAACAATGTGAATATCAGTGATGAAGAGAAGTGAAAAAGAAAAGAAGAGAAAGAAATATATAAAAAGAATGTTTGGTTTTAGAAATTTCAACTTGTTTAATTGCATGAATTATTATCGATTATGAAGAGTTTGTTTTGTGTTTTAATGATATTTGTAAAATGGTATATATATATATGTATCAAGTGGTAGTTTAGGGCTTTTAGCTTTAGACCATATTGACGATCTTGATTGTACTCCCAAGGGGAATATTCGCTTAGTATCCAGACGTCGCTGCATATGACTGGCCAGAAATTATTAACGACAAAGAACTGAGGGAAAAAAATCAAGCAGGAACCTACTGTTCAACCTATATAATGGGGAAAATAGAGATGGATGTTGAGTAGGCCATTTCGGTGGCATCACGCACCAGTTCATTTCTGTAAAAATAAGTAAGCGGCAAACGATGAGTTAAGAAACCCTTCGAGAGTGACATAGGGGAGACTATATACTATGGGTAACCAACGGGATAGCTAAATATTACTGTATAGAACAGGATGAAATGATGGTGTCTTGTTGAAGTCCTTTGTTCAACTTAGAACCCAAGGCAATATTAACAATAATAATGATCCGAATTTCAGAATGCATTAAGGCCTGCATCACAATGGTAGTTGTCTCCCTGTTTTTTTAATGTAGAAAACATCACACAGTTCCTACAAAGAAAGCTCTGCACTTCTTTTTTTAAAGGATGCAAAGGAACTTCAAGGTCCTTTAGACTTCTTGTTCTTCTTTCTGTTTCTTCTTCTATGACTTAGTGTTTTCATTAGGAAGACCGAGGATCTGTCAGTTTTTGTGCAAGTCGTTTCAGCGTATTGAACTGTTTGGAGTGGAGTTGTTTCCTATCTCAGTGTTATGTACTCGTCTCTGAATTATTGTTATGGACTGGTCGAGAAACTAATAGTCCTGACGCAAGAAGGCAGAAATCAGAAGACCACTAGGTTTTCGATGATACTTCTATTGTCCGAACACAAGGAGACGAAAATAAATGGTCTCACACCAAAGTGGTAAGCAAGTCAAGTAGTTGTAAAGTAAAGTAGTTCACACAAATTGAGAATGCGAATATATATAAATAATTCAGACAAGCGTGGGAAAAATCATTAGACAGTCTTAACATGAATGGCTAATTATAATGGAGTGTCGATCCAATTATACATAGCGAATATAGCAGACATGTCAACAAACATATATGGATATATGTCACCAAGCAACGGACTGTCAACAAACACTCATATTATATATAATATAATATAAGGAGAATACACATTATTAAAGGAGACAAGTCCATACAAGTGAAGTGGTCACAGACTAACCGAGCAAACAGAAAGAGAGACCAACATGCACACACACACACATATATATATATATGTGGATACATATCACCTCCCCTTTTGAGAAGATGGATGATTAGTAGGATGTTTACCTGGGGGTTTATCTGGGACCTTTGGGCTTGTTGTTGACGCCTGTCGTTTCGTCTGACTGTTGGGTTTGCGGCTTCGGCTCCGTCCGGAATTGTCTAACATTTTCTGCTTCCTGACTGCTTTGCATAGCGAATTTAGTGGGACATCAGCCAGATGCAAACGATCGAACCAATCAAGTCCCAAAAGATTTAAATCACTCTTGGTGACGTAGCAAATTCCTGTGAATTTGGTATTGCGGAAGGAAACGGGACATTTGAGTTCACCAATTAGTTTGAGCCGCCCACCACAGGCACTGAGAAGAGACTGGGAAGTATTGGTGATAGGTGGTCTGCCAATATAATTCCAAAGTTTCTCTGATATAACAGTAATATCAGAGGCAGTATCTAGCTGCAGACGAGTATCATGACCATTCATCTGATGGTCAATATATTTCCGCATAGCTGGTGTTGTGACTTGACAGGTTGCACGTAGACTCAGTGATCTTTTTGGAGATTTAGGACCGACATTTTGTTGAGCTTTTGCTGGATTATGATATCTGAGTTGGCGTGGCTGACAAAACCCATTTTTATGACCGATGATTTTGCACTTGCTGCAACGATGATTTTTGTATGGGCAAGACTTTACAAAGTGCCACGCGCCACAGTGCCAGCATGGTGATGGAGGGGTCTTCTTTGTCGTATTTTGTGAAGTTGGACGAGTATGTATAGATTTCCGCGGGACATTAGAGAAGTAGGTGGGTCAGGACTGGATGATGAGAGATTTTTGCTCTTTCGTAATGCACGAATATCAGAGCTTCTCGAAGGTGTTGATTCGACCAGGTGTGTGTCTTTCTGCAGATTAATCAGCCGTTGATATTCATCAGCTATGTCATGTAATGTTAACTTGGGATTTTGTTCTAGCTGATTGAGCAGTCGAGTTCGGATATCTGTGAAACGAGGAGATTGGAGACTGCATATGAGAATCAAGGCTTTGAACTGATCATCTGTTAAGGACCTGAGTCGAAATCTCTCACATTCTCGGTTGACTGTGCCAACGTGAGTAAGAAAATCATCATTTTCATTCATTGCCAGCTTGAGGCAACGATAACGTATACTGAATAATGAGGAGTGGTCTCCGAAATGTTCACGCAGCAACTTTATTGTATCATCGAAACAATTGTCACGTGGTTTCTGTGGTAAAATTAGGTTGCAGTACCGTTCATATTCTGCCGGACCCAATTTACGTAGCAAAACTCGCACCTTCCAGGCATCGTCTTGTGAGGCGAGATCAACAGTGAATAAATCCTCATAACGTTGATACCATGTGTCAAAAGTGACATTAGCCTCTGGGTCATAATTGAACTGTGAAATGCTGTTCACAATACCGTCGACAGATGGTAGCATGGTATGATTGGGATTGCTTGAAGGTGGAGCTGGACCAGTCTGTTGGTTGACGAACATTTCCATTAATTTCAATTGTTGTTCAAACAATAATTCCAATTTAGAATAATCCATAGTAAATTGTTATGTTGCTGCTGCTGAGTGGTTAATAGTAGTTTTCCCCGTCGCCAAATTGTTATGTACTCGTCGCTGAATTATTGTTATGGACTGGTCGAGAAACTAATAGTCCTGACGCGAGAAGGCGGAAATCAGAAGACCACTAGGTTTTCGATGATACTTCTATTGTCCGAACACAAGGAGACGAAAATAAATGGTCTCACACCAAAGTGGTAAGCAAGTCAAGTAGTTGTAAAGTAAAGTAGTTCACACAAATTGAGAATGCGAATATATATAAATAATTCAGACAAGCGTGGGAAAAATCATTAGACAGTCTTAACATGAATGGCTAATTATAATGGAGTGTCGATCCAATTATACATAGCGAATATAGCAGACATGCCAACAAACATATATGGATATATGTCACCAAGCAACGGACTGTCAACAAACACTCATATTATATATAATATAATATAAGGAGAATACACATTATTAAAGGAGACAAGTCCATACAAGTGAAGTGGTCACAGACTAACCGAGCAAACAGAAAGAGAGACCAACATGCACACACACACACATATATATATATGTGGATACATATCACCTCCCCTTTTGAGAAGATGGATGATTAGTAGGATGTTTACCTGGGGGTTTATCTGGGACCTTTGGGCTTGTTGTTGACGCCTGTCGTTTCGTCTGATTGTTGGGTTTGCGGCTTCGGCTCCGTCCGGAATTGTCTAACATTTTATGCTTCCTGACTGCTTTGCATAGCGAATTTAGTGGGACATCAGCCAGATGCAAACGATCGAACCAATCAAGTCCCAAAAGATTTAAATCACTCTTGGTGACGTAGCAAATTCCTGTGAATTTGGTATTGCGGAAGGAAACAGAACATTTGAGTTCACCAATTAGTTTGAGCCGCCCACCACAGGCGCTGAGAAGAGACTGGGAAGTATTGGTGATAGGTGGTCTGCCAATATAATTCCAAAGTTTCTCTGATATAACAGTAATATCAGAGGCAGTATCTAGCTGCAGACGAGTATCATGACCATTCATCTGAAGGTCAATATATTTCCGCATAGCTGGTGTTGTGACTTGACAGGTTGCACGTAGACTCAGTGATCTTTTTGGAGATTTAGGACCGACATTTTGTTGAGCTTTTGCTGGATTATGATATCTGAGTTGGCGTGGCTGACAAAACCCATTTTTATGACCGATGATTTTGCACTTGCTGCAACGATGATTTTTGTATGGGCAAGACTTTACAAAGTGCCACGCGCCACAGTGCCAGCATGGTGATGGAGGGGTCTTCTTTGTCGTATTTTGTGAAGTTGGACGAGTATGTATAGATTTCCGCGGGACATTAGAGAAGTAGGTGGGTCAGGACTGGATGATGAGAGATTTTTGCTCTTTCGTAATGCACGAATATCAGAGCTTCTCGAAGGTGTTGATTCGACCAGGTGTGTGTCTTTCTGCAGATTAATCAGCCGTTGATATTCATCAGCTATGTCATGTAATGTTAACTTGGGATTTTGTTCTAGCTGATTGAGCAGTCGAGTTCGGATATCTGTGAAACGAGGAGATTGGAGACTGCATATGAGAATCAAGGCTTTGAACTGATCATCTGTTAAGGACCTGAGTCGAAATCTCTCACATTCTCGGTTGACTGTGCCAACGTGAGTAAGAAAATCATCATTTTCATTAATTGCCAGCTTGAGGCAACGATAACGTATACTGAATAATGAGGAGTGGTCTCCGAAATGTTCACGCAGCAACTTTATTGTATCATCGAAACAATTGTCACGTGGTTTCTGTGGTAAAATTAGGTTGCAGTACCGTTCATATTCTGCCGGACCCAATTTACGTAGCAAAACTCGCACCTTCCAGGCATCGTCTTGTGAGGCGAGATCAACAGTGAATAAATCCTCATAACGTTGATACCATGTGTCAAAAGTGACATTAGCCTATGGGTCATAATTGAACTGTGAAATGCTGTTCACAATACCGTCGACAGATGGTAGCATGGTATGATTGGGATTGCTTGAAGGTGGAGCTGGACCAGTCTGTTGGTTGACGAACATTTCCATTAATTTCAATTGTTGTTCAAACAATAATTCCAATTTAGAATAATCCATAGTAAATTGTTATGTTGCTGCTGCTGAGTGGTTAATAGTAGTTTTCCCCGTCGCCAAATTGTTATGTACTCGTCGCTGAATTATTGTTATGGACTGGTCGAGAAACTAATAGTCCTGACGCAAGAAGGCGGAAATCAGAAGACCACTAGGTTTTCGATGATACTTCTATTGTCCGAACACAAGGAGACGAAAATAAATGGTCTCACACCAAAGTGGTAAGCAAGTCAAGTAGTTGTAAAGTAAAGTAGTTCACACAAATTGAGAATGCGAATATATATAAATAATTCAGACAAGCGTGGGAAAAATCATTAGACAGTCTTAACATGAATGGCTAATTATAATGGAGTGTCGATCCAATTATACATAGCGAATATAGCAGACATGTCAACAAACATATATGGATATATGTCACCAAGCAACGGACTGTCAACAAACACTCATATTATATATAATATAATATAAGGAGAATACACATTATTAAAGGAGACAAGTCCATACAAGTGAAGTGGTCACAGACTAACCGAGCAAACAGAAAGAGAGACCAACATGCACACACACACACATATATATATATATTATATGTGGATACATATCACCTCCCCTTTTGAGAAGATGGATGATTAGTAGGATGTTTACCTGGGGGTTTATCTGGGACCTTTGGGCTTGTTGTTGACGCCTGTCGTTTCGTCTGACTGTTGGGTTTGCGGCTTCGGCTCCGTCCGGAATTGTCTAACATTTTATTTCATTGGTGATAGTAGACAGCCTTGCCTCACTCCCGTCCTCACTACGAAGGCTTCCGTAAGTTTCCCGTTGTGGATTACTTGGTATGCAGCATTGTCGTACACCTTCTGGATGAGATGTATAATTGTCGGCGGCCTTCTGTAGTAGCGAAATAGTTGTCAAATGACCTCTCGATCGACGCTGTCGAAGGCCTTTTCAAAGTCGATGAAGTTGAGATAGAGAGGTGACTGCCATTCCAAGCTTTGTTCAATGATGATCCGTAGAGTGGCGATTTGATCAATACATGATTTGTTTCTCCTGAATCCAGCCTGTTCCGGACGAAGTTTTTCATCTAGGGCTTGTTTGATTCTCTCCAGGATGATGCGACTTAGTATCTTGCTTGGAATGGACAGAAGCATAATTCCACGCCAGTTTTTACATTGACTTAAGTCTCCTTTCTTTGGAAGTTTGAATAAGTAACTGTTCTTCCAATCCTCGGGTACTTTGCCCTCTTTCCACACCTTCTCCAGTAGTGGTGTCATCAAGTCCGCTGTTGTCTCTGGGTCTATTTTCAAAGCCTCTGCTGGGATTCCATCTGGTCCCGGTGTTTTCCCAGTTTTAAGCATCTTGATTGCATTCAGGACTTCTGATTTCGTCGGGGGGTCAGTGTTCACTGGTAGTTCTGCTTCCGTTGTTGGTATTGCTGGACGTGTTGTAGGTGGCGGACGATTTAGAAGTCTTTTGAAGTGTTCAACCCAGTGCTTTCTCTGTTCCACCTCTTTGGTGATTGACTTTCCATTGTCGTCCTTTATTGGCTTAATCTGTGTCGAACGTTTGCCCGATAGGTGCCTAGTTGTTTGGTAGAGTGTGGCGAGGTCTCCTTTGCCTGCAGCTTGTTCTGCTTCGTTTGCCATGGTTTCATAATATTTTCTTTTGTCTTCCCTGGCACTCTTCTTCACTCTTTTGTTCAGTGTATTGTAGCTTGCATTCAGCTCCTGTTTTTGTTGCTCGTCAATGCACTGGATAATCTTTTGCTTCACTGTCCTTCTCTCTTCTATTAGTTTCCAAGTGTCCGTAGTGAGCCACTGTTTGTCCTGTCTCTTTTTTCTGCCTAGAATTTCTATGCAGGTTTGGCTCCACACCGTTTTCAAGTTGTTCCACTGCTTTTCGACGCTGACCTTTTTGCTGGTGTTGATTTGTGTCTCGGCTTTGTCCTTTATGCTTGCAATGAAGATGTCCTTTGTAGCCTGGTCCTTCAGCTTTTGAGTGTTGAACTTGGCTTGTGGTCTATCTGCAGCTCCTGATTCTCTGAAAGCTTTTAATTTGATTTGGATTGTCCCTTGTACGAGATAGTGGTCTGAGCCAACGTCTGCTCCTCTTCTTGCTTTTGTGTCCAGTAGGCTGCGCCTCCACTTCCTTGAGATTGAGATGAAGTCGATTTGGTTTTTGGTTTGCCCGTCTGGTGACACCCATGTAGCCTTGTGGATATCTTTGTGTTTGTATACGCTGCCGTCAATCACTAGTTCGTTGAAGGCGCAGAAGTCGGCGAAGAGTTCTCCGTTTTCATTCATTTCTCCTAGAGCTTCTCTACCCATGATGAGTTCCCTTCCTGTGTTGTCTGGTCCCAGTTTGGCGTTCATGTCTCCCATTAGTATTTTAATGTCACCAGCTGGAGTATTGTCCATTGTTGCCTGTAGTTGCCTCTAGAATTCTTCTTTCTTTTCGAGGTCTGAGTTGTTTGTGGGCGCAAAACATTGTATGATTGTTACTTTCCTTCCTTTGGAGTTGAATCTGGCGGTCATTATCCTGAACGAAATCGCCTCCCATTGCATCAGGGCCTTTGTTGCCGTTGGTGACATCACGATAGCCACGCCCTCGGTGTGCATGTGGTTGTCTTTTGGGTGACAGCAGCAGATCATTGGCTCTCCCGTTGACGATTTAGTGAGTCTGTTCCCGTTCTATCTGCTTTCATATATTCCTATTATTTGGATTCCTTATTTTTTCATCTCGTTGACAATCTGGGCAGCTTTGCCAATCTCCCACATGGTGCGAACGTTGCATGTCCCCATACAGACTTTTTTCTTTTGGTGCAAAGAGGTTCATCGTACTGAAGTTTTTTAGCAATTTTGTTTACAGGGTGGGGTTGCTAGCCTCACGCCTGAGAAAGGATTGATTACATTAAGTTAAAGTTTAGAGAGAAGCGACTTTTTGGGTTGCTCCTCTCAAAATCGG